TGTAACAAGGGAAAAACTATTCCTCGTGCTAGCCAAAACCACAAAGCCTTTTTATATCCAGCAAGACTGCCATGTCTTATCTGTCCTCTGAAGGACTGAAGCACAAGAAAACACACCACACCACACACCACACCTGCAGAAGTCAGGGCAGAGTGGCACGCCATAGCTTGAGCAATATTACAGAAGAGCCAGGGCTCACATGGGCTAATCCAAGCCACCACACCTTAGCTGAGAACACTCCTTAGTCCTCAAGCAGGGACTTCTAACAATAACTTCCTCTAATAAAATCATCCACATAAAAAACTCATAAATCATGTGCTTCAAACATGATCTAATGTGCTGACTGTTCATGTGTGTGCTGGTTCTTGTGCCTGGGTGTATACACATACATACAAACACACACATACACACATTTGAGTGCACATGCGCATGTACATATTTCAGTGTATTTGTCCCTGTTACTAACACTTTGGATCTTAAGTGTTGGAAGACAGGGACTATCTAACTCATTCACAGTCTCTGAGGATCTAATTACAAGACTCTGAGATTACAGTAAAGAGATTACTGTGGACAGATACTAGCTTTTAAATATGAGACTCTCTGAAAGACTACAATCCCTTTGATCAGTATATGCATTTTCAATATTGCTGTGTACAGAGCCCCGAAAACACTGAGGGGACTAAAAACATAACTAGGGGTTGGAGAGATGGCTCAGTGGGTAAGAACACTGGCCGCTCTTTTCAGAGGACCCTGTTCAATTCCCAGCATGTGCACAGAAGCTCACTGCAGTTTCAAGGGATCCAATGACTCTTCTCGCCTCTGCAGGAATTGCTCAAACATGCATGCAGGCAAAACATTCACACACATAAAAATAAATAATTTTTTTAAAGATTTATTTATTTATTATGTATACAACATTCTGCTTCCATGTATACCTGCACACCAGAAGAGGGCACCAGATCTTATAACCAATGGTTGTGAGCCACCATGTGTTACTGGGAATTGAACTCAGGACCTCTGGAAGAGCAGTCGGTGCTCTTAACCGCTGAGCCATCTCTCCAGCCTCAAAATAAATAATGTTTAAAAATAAAATAAAAGCCATATAGAGCTTTCATGTCTTTTATAGTAACCTCAGCACTGTAAGTCGGTGCTCACCAAGAGCTCAAATTCTTGCTATATTTTCTTTGTCCTCTTTCTCTCTTTGGGTAGAGACATGGTCTCACCATGTAGCCCTGAGTGGCCTGGAACTCACTATGTAGACTGCCTCCCAAGTGCTGGGATTAAAGGTGTATACCGCCACACAGGGCCAGCAGCAGCAATCCAAGAAAATGCTTTCTGATAAAGATTAGAAAACTAACCACAAAGCTGAGGGTGCATGAGTCAGGCCTGAGGTTCAATCCTGCCCCCGCCCAGTGGTGGTGGGGGGTGATGACCACAACAAAAACTAGATGCAAGTCTTTCTGAAGGGCAGAAATGCTGGCAATGGGCAGGTGCTGAGTTTACAAACAGCAAACCAACAGCATCATTACATGTGATGGTCAAACAACAATGAAGAGTGACAATCAAATATCAGCAATAATGTGAAGTCCACAATCCTTACTAAAACACTTAAGGTTACACATAAATTACAGGGTAGGGACTTCCTGCCAACATGGAAGATTGTCCTGCTTCCACAGTTACTGACGCCCAGTAGCCAGGCAGCACCCTAGGAAGAACAGAAACACCAGTGTCAGCTGACACCTGGCCTCATGGTCGGGCCTTGCTACCAAGGCACACACAGGACTGTGCAGGGGTACCTCTTGAGGGTCCCCAGGACTGACCACCAACCTCTCTTGCTGAGCAGGGCCCTGGCATCTGTCCCTTGCAGTTATATGTCAAACCAAGAAGGGGAAACGACACAACACCAACATTTGCTTTATGAATAATGATCCCACTAAAAACCACCTTAGAGGGGCTGGAGAGACGGCTCAGAGGTTAAGAGCACTGACTGCTCTTCCAGAGGTCCTGAGTTCAATTCCCAGCAACCACATGGTGGCTCACAACCATCCGTTATGAGATCTGGTACCCTCTTCTGGTGTGCAGATATACATGGAAGCAGAATGTTGGATACATATTAAATAAATAAAATCTTAAAAAAAAAAAAGCCACCTTAGAGCTGATGGCCATGGGAGAAGAGACGTACTGAGAACATATAGAATCACCAGGGCTGAAAAAGTCACTTATACGTAGCTCCTTGAAGTTATAGAAAGAGAAATGGAGGGACACTATAACAGATCCATGTCCCACTACAAGGTGACCCAGCTTTTCAATTCCCAGACCTCATTCTTCCCACAAAGAATTAACTGTACACTTTAGTACCTGAAAAGCACAGATTACATGTGAACCTAGTGATGAGAGAAGTCAAGAACAGCTGGTCTACCTTCCAACGTTGGCCTTAAGTTTGTACCACTGTCAGCCCCTCCTCCAAAACAACAGTTCAGGACAAGGCCTTACAGACAGTAATTACAGCTGTGAAGAAATGCCCTAACAACTCCTCCAAAGGAGGAATAATATGTATGTGTGCCTGTACACATGTAGGGTTGCACTCACCTGCATATGTGCACATGTGGAGGTGTCTTCTATTGCTTTCTACCTTATTTTTGGAGACAATGTCTCTCAGTGAATCTGGAGCATTGGATACACTGGCAGCCTCCTCCTGCCTCTGCTCCCCTAGTGAGCATCAGAGATGCATCACTGAGCCTAGCTTATCACATGATGCTGGAAATCTGAACTCAGGTTCTCATGCTAACACTATCCACTAAGCCATCTCCCAGCCGGAGCCTAACAATGTTCAAAGGACTCACTCTACTCTCATTCCTGTGAGGATGGTCATACAACAACATAACACTGACTACACAACTTAGTGTAGGCAAGAACTACACCAAACAGATCTCCTCTAAGTGCTGTGAGGTTCTAAGTCTCCCATGGTTTGCAAAAGCAAAGATGGATTCACAAAGCCTTTTGTGGATGTGGAAGCTGAAGGAACTGTCTGAACTCAGTGGAAGATTAGCCATTCAGAGTTTATTTTGGGCTTTTTAATTGGCTTGTTTCATTTCTTTGAAGAAAAGAATGTCTTGAATTTGTCCCCCAGTTTATAAAAAGAAAAATGCTTTAACTCCAAACAGACCATGAGTCCCTGACCTGGCTCCCAGGCTGTGGTTGTCCTCTCAGATGGCCGCCCAGAGCCCTACTAATAAAAAGCCAACCTCCCGAATGTTCCTTGACACTAATAAAGGATCACACAGCTGGAGGGATGGCTTGGTGGTTAAAAGCATTCACTGCTCCTCCAGAGGACCTGGGTTCTATTCTCTACACCCATATCAGGTGACTCATCTGTAGCCTCAGCTCCAGGGGATCCAATGCCTCTAGGTTCCACACACTCATATGCCCTCATGAACATTCTTGCGCGCGCGTGCGTGTGTATGCACACACACACACACACACACACACACAGGTATGTTGTGGAATATTCCTTTACACTGTGTGAAGATATCAGTCACTGTTTGACATTGGTTCAATAAAAAACTAACAGCAAATAGCTAGGTAGGATTTTGGGGTCAAAAAGAATGCTGGGAAGATGAGGGAGAAGTCAGACAGATGCAGAACGAGTTGAACACACAAAATGGGACAGAGGTAAGAGCCACATGGTAGAATGTAGACTAATAACAATATGGGTTAATTTAAGTTATAAGAGCTAGTTAAGAACAAGCCTAAGCAATCAGCTGGGCTTCATAATTAATAAGAAATCTCTGCATGGTTATTTGGGAGCTGGTAGGTGGAACAGAAAATCTGCCTACACCTATACATAATTAAAAACAAACCCTTGAAAAATAAAGGAACATACTAAACAGATGTGTGGGCAAAGCACAACAGACATTCAGTTCAAACCCCCACTCCAAAATCAGATTAAGTTACAATGGAATGGCATCAGTCAATAGAAACAAAGGTATCAAAGTGAAAATATCTCCAATGAATTTCGAGATTCACGTTTGCCAATTGGAAGATGCATTGGAAACTAGTGTTTGCTTTGTTCCCTGAGCACCCAGTCACTAATTCTTTGGAGAACTGGTTCAGTTGTGCAATAATCAATCCAGCCACAGAAGCCAAACACAGATGTAAAACAAAATAAGAAGTCATCAACACCCAAGATGGAACTGCAGGAGAACTGGAAGCTTTCCCAAAGGGAAGCATCCACCTGATATGGAGCAGTGCTCTTGGCAGAAAGTTGACTTCACTGTATGTACTTTCAGAGCCCACAATCCATAGTGAGATGTGCCCTAGCACACATGGTTCAGAAGTAGACATGGGGGTGGGTGGGGGGCAAAAGTCCTCTATTCATATTCACAGCAAGGAAACAGCTATACTCAACATCTGCATTTGCACATGGTAGTAAGGATACTAAACCCTCACCTCTAGAGCTAGGAACTCACCAACCCCCCTTTCCTCCTACAGCTAAGGAGAACAGACACACAAAAGCTCCAACTTATGCCCGACTGGGACAGGACTCAGTGAAAGGCAAAGTCAGGAGAGGACCAGTGGGGACATGCTGAGGGTGAAGTCACACACAGAGTTACTAAGTCAGGGCCTTTCATTCTACCTCTTTAAGTCCTATGATGTGGCTTATTACCAGAGTTAGGATAAATCTCGAATCCTGTGTGTCTGTGTGGACCCCTCCAACACCCCTACCCTGGCAATGGGGATGAACCAGGGTCATACACACACTAAACAATGAGACATAACCATCTGCCACTGAGCCATAAGCCATCCCTCGGAACATTTTCTTGAATTGATGTTCCATTTACAGCTCAGAAACCAAAAGACCGGGGGCTGAAGAGATGGGCGGTGGGTTAGAGTACTTGCTAGCCCTTGCAGAGGACCTGAGTTCAGTTCCCAGCACCCACATGAGGCAACTCAGAAACCAACCTCCTGTACCTCCAGCTCCAGGATGGGCTGTCACTCACCTTGTGCAGAGGGAGCACCAAGAAGGCTCCTCCCCCACTTGCTTCTATGATGATGGCAACGAATCTGGGGTTGACAGCACAAAAGGAACTGTCCCAGGTCACTCGAGAGACTCGGATGTCATCATAGCACTGGTCGTTTTTCACAGCCTGTCCAAAGACATGCCGGAACTTGCTCTGTCGCACCACTCGCCGCATCGTGTCTGTGAAAAGAAGAGAGAATACATGAGAACTGTGGGCCACCAACTCTGCAATTCTGCAATAGGCAAGCTGAAAAAACAGAACACCTTGGTGTTCTATCTACTGTCCTAAAAAGTAGCCGGACTGCAAATCCCAGTTCCCTCTGCAGCACAAGCACGGAGAGCACGGAGAGCACTGAGAAGCATGTTGGAAAAACTTACAACACCAGCGTGGTCCGTGGTAAACAGAGACAAATCATGAAGAAAAATGGGTCTTTCGGGGTGGGTGGGAAAACTCACTCCACCCTTCCTATTTCAGAGATAGGAAAACAGCAAAATGAAGCTACATTGTAGGTGTGGAGCCAAAGCCCCAAACCAGTTATGATCCGGGTCTTTCTCCTCAGTCTTGGGGGTGATTTTCCAGTTTTTACACACCCTCCCTCTCCCTTACATCAGCATTCCTCTGTCTGAGCGTTGTGCTGCCTCCCCAGAGTGACTCCACATTACCAACTATGCAGAATCAAGAGACAGAAGCAGCTGCCCTGCCTCCAAGCGCCTGCTATCCTCCGGAAACAGGCTTGCCCTACAGAGCAACCCAAACCAACCGCTGGCTGCTAAGTGTCCCAGTAAGGAACAGGGAAATCTGACCTGAGGCTGCCACGGAAGTCAAGAAGAGCCAGATCTCAGAAAAAGAAGTAGTTAAATGGGAAGTGGCTAATGGGGCCACCTTACCATGCCCATGAGCCTGGCAGGCCCATCCTGCAGGGAAAAGTTAAGAGCCAGGTACTGGGCCAGAAGCCGGGGCAGTCAAAGACAGCCTGATGAGATGATGGCGGCAGCTGGATAGAAGGAAGGGAACAGGACAGTGTGGAAGAGAAAGCAGACCATGAAGAGGGTCTCCTGTCAGATCATTCAGCCTCTGGCAGAGTAAGCTGGGCATGGGGAATATGGGTGACAGCTAGCTGGGGTCCTGGACTCCTCATGGGTCATTTTAGACAAATCCCACTGGATTGCCAGATGGACATGAACACAGGAAGCTTTGTGCTCCAGACCAAGGCTCCACCCACCTCAGGTTTTCTAGCCGGCACTTGATGTAATTTTCCTGTCTGCTTCTGTATGGCATTCTGCTCAAAAGATAAATGGAACGTGGATAAAGCTAAGTGGAACTGGCATGTGGCCAAACCCTGACAAATTTGTTGAAAACCAGATCACTGTGAACAGAAGAGGCCAGCACCTGTCAATTTATGCCAAGTGGGGCATGTGGTGGCAATGCTATTTCTTATCCTCTAACAGCCTCCCTTGTGGCCTTGAACCCACTACTAGACGCAGAGGAAGTGTCTGTCTATGCAAGAGCCTCCTATCTTTGCAAGGCTTGTGTAGAAGTGTCCCCTCTGCAATGCTGGGGCAGGTGGCAGGGCAAGGAGCCCCGTGTTCTGCAGCCCAGCTGCTGCCTGACCTTCCCTGATGACTACTGGGACAAACACTTTGAATGTTTGGTGGAGATACTAAGGACTTACACTCATCCAATCCTTCAACGGGAAACAGTATGAGTTCTTCAGGCATGAGTCACACACAGCTTCCACTGTGGCACACACACCTCCATATTGGCCACTCTCAGAAGCCACCGCACCCACAGCCACTGGCACTACAAGTCACTAAGGCTGGAGTCCCCATCCAGCTCCTCCCAGGAAGTGCTTCAAAAGTCAGTTAAGGGTCTGAGAAAAGCTCAGCAGTTAGTGTTTATTGCTATCTCAGAGGCCCCATATTTGGTTCTTACGCACGCACGCACGCACGCACGCACACGTGTCCAGCTGCCTTTAGCTCTTGCTCCAGGGAATGAATCCAACACCCTCCTTCTGGCCTCCATGGACATTCCAAACTCATATTCACACACCCACATATACACATAAATAAAAATAAAATCTTTTAAAAAGAAGTTCACACAGGAGAAAAAGACTGCACTAGGTTAGTCAATATTCTTCATGTGTTAAAATATTTTACAAATTGATAAAATTAAAACCCAATAGAAAAAGCTGGGGGCTCACACCTTCAATCTGAGTACTTGGGAGGCAGATGGATCTCTGAATTCAAGGCCAGCCTGATCTACAGAGCAAGTTCCAGGACAGCCAGGCCTACACAGAGACCCTGTCTTAAAACAAACAAAAACCATAAAAACCAATAGAAAAGTAGGCAAAATCCACAAACAGGTGACACAGAGAGAGAGAGAACTCAGCACCACTGCCTCCCCAAAGCCCTAAACCTATGACAGCAAAGGAATAAACACAGGTATACACACGGGATTAGGACAGGAATGGAGCCTACCAGAGAGCAATTGTGACAACAAAGCTCAGAAAAGCCTATGTCACTGAGTGACTGACTGCCATGGGCGTCCCCTACATTCAGCTAAGCATCTTAGGAGATGCTCACAAGGAAGGAAGCACACTGTAAGTCCCTACCACAAGCAGAAAAGAGAGCATGTCTCAGGCCTTTCCCAACACTGGGAAGGCAGAGGCAGGAAGGCCAGGATCTTAAAGTCATCCCAGTTTAGCAAGCTAAGAGGCCAGCCTGGGCCCCTGAGCCTCAACAAACCAAGCAGTCCTCTCCACCTTACAGCAGAATCAAGCTCACTTTCATTCTAATTACATCCGTGCAAGAGGACACACAGGTTCTTACAGTTCAACTGTAGAATACAATGTTGGCTGCAAAGCAGTGTGAAGCTTTCCTGCACTGAGCTGACTCAGCCTTGCTGAAGTGGGGCTTGACAGGCAGTGTGAGCCCATTCATATCCAAGGTCAAATCTGATCTGAGCCCAGCTGTTCACATGTGACACTGCTGCTTTAGCTGCAGAGAAAGTCTCCGGCCCTTCAAACACAGCAGAGAACAGCAGTACCAACAAGAGCAAGCTCCAGAACCTGCCAGCATCTATGTGAATGGCACAGATCCTGGCCACAGTTCACTAGAGTAAATCACAGACTGTGTCAGAGTCTCTACCTGAAAATAGGGACAAACACATACATAAAGCTGACATGAAGGCTACATGACCACTTCATGATGGAACAGTTGTAAGAGATGGCTCTGCCATGGAATCTAGTATCAACATAAGAAACCCATTACTCAACCGACCACCATCCTAGTAACTGACCTCAAACAACCCAGACTCAAACCCCAGCTCTGCCACTTGTCAGCAAATTACTTCACCCCCCTGAACTACCAATATCCTCATCTAGAGAATGAAGAGTGGTGCCTGAGAATGCAAGCTGCAAAGCCCAGGTTCATGGCTCCACCACCTAAGTCTATAAAGCAGAACTAATACCAATTTCACAAGCAACTCCAAAGGCTGCAAGAGCAGAAAGCACTCTTAAGTGACCTGCACTCTGATACAGAGACCAAGTGGGACTTACCTCAGGAATGCAAGCAAGGTTGGTTCAGCATATGAAAAGTGATTGGTGGGACCTACCACACCAATAGAAGACGACCAAACTCACAGGACCACCACCACCACACACACAAAGCACATGACAAAATATGATAAAACACTCAGGAGATGAGGAATAAAAGGGGATTCCCTCATGATAAGAAGGAAAGCCCACACTTATCACAATGTTCAGTGTTGAAAGGCATGCTCTAAGATCATAAACCAACAAGATTGTGTGCTCCAGCCCCTTCTACTTAGAACTGATAAACAAATGCATCTAGGTGCAAGAACCAAGATCAATATACAAAAATCAGTTATGCTTCTATAGTTACAACAGGCAACCCAAAAATGAAATTAAGGAACAATTCCAATCACAGCAGCATTTTTTAAAAAAGGAAAAAGCCCAAGAGGAGTGAAAACCTGCATATTAAAACCATTCACCACCGCAAAGAGAAATTAAAGAAATGGAAAAGCACCCTATGCTCATGGGGTAAAGCTTGGCCATTATTAAGACAGTAGAATCCCTGAAACAAGGAAAGTCTTCTAGAAGGTTAGGTCAATACCTCATAGAAGTGGATGAACTGACTCTAAAACCCACATGGAATTACAAGAGATCTGAGACAAACACATAACCTTTAAAAAGGACACATTAGAAAAACACGTTTCTTAATGTCAAAAAACTCACTACAGGGGCAGGCATAGTGGTACACACCTTAATCCCAGCACTCGGGAGGTGATGGGGTAACGACACATGACCAAGGCACAGAGACCCATGCAGCCTATAATCTATCTGTACAGAGCCTAGCATAGACTCTGTATTCCACACTGCTAGCAAGTGTTACTTCAGAGCCCATTAACAAATTTCTCTATCCAAAGAGAAAATCCCAATCAACTTCCTACTGATGATGGCATGAGTGTAATTTTCATAAAAAGAGCCCTGCTAACCAAGAGCTCTGCAAAACTCTGTGTTCTCCCACCTCTGCAGCATTAGCATCTGTTTCAAACAGAAAAATTTGGAAACTATTCTAAAGATTAGAACTCCTAAGGGCTGCCAGAATTGACAAATGGCATTCAAAAGTTCAGCTGGGAAACTAAGATGTCAAAAATAAACTAAAATAATAATAATAGAATGTCTTATCAAATTTGGGTATTCTTTTAATTATCTTGTCTCAAAGTGATCAAACAATAAATTAGAAAACTAAAGCAGGCCGGTCATTGGTGGCGCACACCTTTAATCCCAGCACTCGGGAGACAGAGGCAGGTGGATTTCTGGATTTCCAGGCCAGCCTTGTCTCCAGGAGTGCCAGGATAGGCTCCAAAGCTACACAGAGAAACCCTGTCTTGAAAAACAAAACAAAACAAAACAAAAACAAAAACAAAAAAAGAAAACAAAAATAAGGGGGCAGAGAGATGGCTCAGTGGTTAAGAGCACTGACTGCTCTTCAGGAGGAGCCGGGTTCAATTCCTAGCACCCACATGGCAGCTCATAACTGTCTAACTCCAGTTCCAGGGGATCCGACACCCATGACAAAACACCAATGCACACAGAATTTTTTAAAAATTAATTTGAAAATTTAAGAAAAAGAAAACTAATAGTTTCTAAGGAAAC